CAAAATCCAAGCCTTCACATCCGCCAAAAAGCTCTCCGTCGTCTCGGGCAACTCAGCATGCAACTTATGATAAGCGCCCTCATAAGAACGAAGCTTCACATCACCACCCTTCTCCGTCAACCCCTTAACAAACGCCTCCGTCGCAGGATGACTAGTAACGCGATCCCCATTCCCATGTCCAAACCAGAAAGGCAGCTCAGTCTTCACCCAAGCCCCATCCCCAGCCGCAAACATTCCCTCCAACCAAATACCCCGATCCAACATACCGGCCAAGCCCTCGAAAGTCCCCGTGTCATGGCACAGCGTATCAGCCACGAATTCATCGACCACAGCCTTATTGCGAGACATCAGGTTCGGGTCAAGCGGGGAATACCGCTGCTTATGCGGGATCAACTTTGCGACAAGTCGCCCCGCTGAGACTGTCAGCTTTGAGGGGCGGGAGGATGGGTCTATGGAGATTAGAGGGGAATACAGAAGCACGCCGGTGAAGTTGGGCCGCTTGGATTTGTCTCCGTTGTAGGGTGACTCTGGGTGGAAGATGTAGTTGAGGACTTGGCCGCCGCCCATGCTGTGGCCCATTAGGAAGAGGGGCACGTCAGGGTTGGCGGGTAGGCTTTGCAGGAAGGAGTGCATGTCTGAGAGGACTTGGGGGGTTGGGCCTGTTTTACCGCGGTCGCGGGTTTCTTTGATGCTACGGCCCCATCCTCTGGTTTTGGAGGTTAGTTGGGGTGTTTCATAATGGAATAGGTCGGTTTCTTTGCGGGTATTTATGTTGGATATCAGGATAGGATTTGGCCTTGGTTTAACGCTTACCGCTGATCGAAAGACCTGACCTCAATGCCTGCCGATGCCAGTGTTGGAAACAGATCGTGGTAGGCATTGCCTAGCAAGGGTTTTTTGTCAATAACTGTCTTATGGATGATGGGTTGTCTTGGCTTATTGCTCATAACAGACATGATCAACTTACAGTGGTCACTAAAGCCATGGATAAAGGCTAGAACAGCAAGTGGAGACCCGCTAGTCTATAGTAGATCGCCTTGTTAGCTTTGAAACTCAATACCCTTATCTTGAGGTTGGAGTCTATCTCAGCTTATTCGAGAGGGATCACAGCTGTGTCGTTAAATTCATACCTTCCATGTCTTAGCATACAGCTCAAGGCCGTCTGGAAGAATATGCACGCTTTCTTCTGTGGTCATTTCGACTGTTGGGGTTTGTATAAAAGCTCGAGAGGTGGTGAGGAGGAGATGAAGTGCACGGTGCACGTTTAAGCATGCATATACGGGACCTCGGCAGGAATGTGAAGCCAAGATACTAACGCGATTCAGATCCACCACGCCCCTAATTTTATAGTAAACCCTATTTATACGATTTTACATCTTAAAAGAATGATAGTCGACTGCGTTTGCAGACTCTGTCATTAACGACATGATCTAGTTAGGTCTATTGTAGTCTTTTTAGTGGTCTCTTTTAGATTTATTCTCCCTCCTCTGAAGTTTTCCAGGTACATAGACGGTAGAGAAAAAGGCGAGAAAAGACTTAATCTGCGAAAGCACTTTGATATAATCTCTAATTATGCATATCCTAATACGACTATTATACAGAAACAAGACAACTATAGCATAGAATCGATACAATGATATCAACCATATCCTATTTCTGGATGTCAGCTATATATTCTGCACCCTTTTCTGGCAAAACTTGCCAGCAATCTTGGTCGACTGTGACTACCTCTTCTTCCTCTTCTTCCTTTTCTTCATTTCTGTATAAGTCTATGATCGGACGGATGGGTAAGAGCCTCCAGGAATCCACGGGTCTTCAGACCCACTTCCCAAGGTTTTATTGGTTCTTAGCCAGCTATGTCTTGTCCAATCACGTTTCGCCAGTGACATGCTTCTTTAGGGCTACTATATAAAATGACTGTCAACTTCTTGACTGTCCTATCTTTTATTACCTTTTAAGCTTCCAATCGATGCTATATCACCTTAAAAGAAGAGGCCCCTCGATACTTAGGCCAGCAATCTTACAATCTCTGCTGCGCCCTAAATATTCAGAAAGGATGTTCTCCGCCGTTCCTCAAGCGGTTGCCAACCACCAACCTGATGTCTCATATCGATCTCTAGCATTATCTCCTAGTGAAGATATCCCAGACATTCGTCAGAAATACCGACCATTCATCCTTGACGACGAGTCAACTGAGGACTGGGTCAACAACTTAGACTTGGCCACCGCAGCGGACATGGCAGAACACAACCTACAAGTCACAAACGAGAGGCTGAGAGTTCTGGTACTCTATGGAAGTCTTCGCAAAAGGTCATACTCTCGACTGGTGGCATTCGAAGCTTCCCGTATCCTCTTCCGGCTTGGCTGTGACGTCCGCGTCTTCGACCCCGAGGGTCTTCCCATGAAGAACGAGAGTGATGCCGCCCATCCTAAAGTACAGGAGCTCAGAGAACTGAGTGTATGGAGTGACGGACATGTCTGGGTCTCTCCTGAACAGCACGGTAATCTGGTGAGTTATCTCTCGCCATAGTCTCAGCATTTCCGCATTATATACTTACATGTTTCTCTGCAACTTTAGACTGCGGTGTTCAAGAATCAGATCGATTGGATCCCTTTAACTACTGGGAGTGTCCGTCCTACCCAGGGCCGAACTCTGGCTATTGCTCAGGTGTGCGGTGGATCCCAATCGTTCAATGCGGTCAACTCTTTGCGTATCCTGGGTCGGTGGATGCGTATGTTTGCCATTCCGAATCAGTCTTCGATCCCCAAGGCGTATACACAGTTCCCGGATGAAGGTCAGCCGGGAGATCAACGACTCATGCCTAGTGGTAACAGAGATCGTCTGGTGGATTGCATGGAGGAGTTTGTCAAATATACGATTCTGATGCGGCCTCACATCGGTCTTTTTGGTGACCGTTTTAGTGAACGGGAGGAAAGGAAAGGAAAGGAAGCAAAGATGAATGCTGCTAAGGCTAGTTGAAATAATAATAGAGTGTGTTAGGGAGGCAATTGTCTATGGTATAATTGCTCAGCATACTTTGCTAACTCGACAGCTCCTCTAGGCAGTCCGATCTATGTCAAAGTCCATCGAAACTATTAGCACATTTGCCATTTTATTGGCAAGTCGTATTCAAGTTCTAAAAGATACTAGAGATACCTGACCAATATCAAGCTTAGACCTTTATTCAAATGTCATTTGATGCGACAGTCTGAGCCTAGCATCAATCATCCAGCAAACCATTCCACTCAGGAATCTCCTCGATCAATTTCCACATAAACTTCTCCAGCTTATTGGCACATTTGGTGTATACCGTTGTGGGGCCATTGAACTGCCGACAGTTACTGAAAATCAATCTGCAATCGTCGACGAGCGGTCTCGGGGTGGAATAAAAACCTTGCTCCAATCTTCCTTCTATGGTCGACAGATCCATCGGTGATACGATGATATCGTAATAATCAGTGACTTCATCTTTGTCGACTGGTTTGACAAAGGGCCAAGCATGCTCGTGGTTTTGGATTTGATTCAGGAAACGTCGAAGTTCATTGAAGTGAGGTCCATGGCATGGCTTCCGCACTAGCTCGTCCATAGCTGGGGACCAGCCAGTCTCCCGAATGGCAGGGATAGAAAGCGGATCGAGTGGAGTGATAACGCCGTTAGCCCATTGCTGAGGTGGTTGATGGATAACATGGTTTTTGCTGAAGGTACGGATTTTGGCCAGAACAGACTCCTTCTGCTTAAGGAGCATACGGCCAGCTTCGAGATACCGTATCCGGGGAATCATGGAGCATTGCATAAGTGTTCCTCCGTCGTAATCCTTGATACACCCCATCCAGATAGATCTATCGAGCGTGATATCTTTAGTGAAACCTTGCTTTTGAAAATATCCGATAGCGTGGTTATCAGCGTAAGTTAGGAAATGCATCACTGGGGAAGTAGCTTTGACGTAATCTTTGAAATGCGCCATGAGATGTGCGCCGTATCCTTTCACTTGATGGTCAGATTCGATCGCGAAGAAAACAATTTCGGCAAACTTGCGTTCTCGGAATTCTCGGTATGATATTCCGCCAATGACCTCTAGGGGCATTTTGACGAGCGCGATAGACAAGTGAGAACGATCGTAAACAAGACGAGCGATGTATTCCTTGGGCATGTTCGGAAGTTGCTTTTGGAACAGACATTTCAGACCCGTGAGGATGATTGTACTCTCACGGGAGCCATCATTGTTGACGACTCGGAACTCGATCTCACCATTTCGTTCCTCTAAAACAGCCGGCTTAAAAAAAGATATCCGTTAGAACATTGTATGCAGCCTAACATTTGAAGTTTTAGCATACCTTGTCTGGGAAAGGAACCCTTCCGATTGGGGCTGGAGGTTGAACATCCGGTGTTGTCGAACTATCGCGAGAGTCTTCGATTCTTTCAGCCTCAGAGGTAAGACTCGGTGCTTCAGAAGATGTCCGCTTCACCAGGAGAGCTTCTCTGCTGTCCGCTGAAGATGAAAGTGACTCTGTGTCGACCATCTTTGTTGAATACTGGCGATCATGCGAGATGTAAAAGCAAACTAATGCAGGTAGGCGGGCGTGAGCGGGCGTGAGCGGGCGCTCTGAAGTCGCTACAAATGTCAGGTTGACAAGAGTCCAGATCCCTTGGTAAGTGGTCGGCTTGATATATGTCCCATTGTAGCGACCATCGCGCGTTCTTATTGTTATGATATTTTGGCCTAGTTACTTTTGCAACCACTTAGGTGCTGCAGCCTAAGTTCACGGATTGTGCACTGCCTGTGAACAGATAAATCCAAAAATATGTATCAATAATAAGTGTTAAACTCCTTAGAATGCCAAATGCTGTATGATACTAGACCTATACAGATTGGGCAAGCTCGGAGTCGAGAAAACCCAAAACACGAGGTCGGGGTCCGCGGACCCCGACAAAGTATACAATCCAGCGCAGAGCCACAATTATTCCTTCCAGTAGCGCTGCAATAAATATCCAAACCAAAATGTCCACATTCAATGGCTTAGAAATAACAACAGCAAGTTCACCTATCCAACCCCTACCTAAACCCCCATCTAACCCAAGCAGGCCTCAATAGTCGCCGCACTAGCGAGCGAAGGAGCCATCCACCCAATAGACACAGTAATAACACGCATGCAATCCCCGATGTACAGCAGCGTCTACAAGCACCTAAACGGCACACTTAGCCGCGCCCTCTTCAGCGGGCTATACCAAGGCTTCGGACCAACCTTCTTTGCAGGAACACTCTCATCAGCTGCTTTTTTCACCGCATACGAAGCCTCAAAGACGGCGTTTAGCAATGCACAGGCCGCCGGATACGTGCTCGGCGTCCCGCGGCCGCTGATCCACGTTGTTAGCAGTGCTGTTGCCGAACTACTCGCTTGCGCTATCCAGAACCCGGCTGAAGTGTTGAAGCAGAATGCTCAGGTTTTTCAGCGCCCAGTTAATGCGGACAGGGGTCCGTCCCCGACGATGGAGATGTTGCGGCGGTTTCAGAAATATCCGGCTGGGTTGTGGGCCGGGTATAGTACATTAGTGGCGAGTCAATTGCCGGGTATGTGTGTTACGTTCTGTTTGTATGAGATGTTTAAGGAGGATTTGCTTGAGCGGTGGAGGACGGGGAAAGATGATATTAGACAGCAGCTGGAGGCGACTGTCTTGGGTGCTGGTGCTGCTGGGGGTTGTGCGTCTTGGTTGTTTGTTCCTATTAATGTGGTCAGGACGAGGATGAGGCTGGCGGTTGGTGATCAGATAGGCAGCACCCGGTCGGGTCTCAAGGGAAACCCTAGCTTGCCATCCCGTGTCGGGGCATTTGCGATTGCTCGGGATGTGCTACGGAAGGAGGGTGTAGCTGGGTTATTTCGGGGATCTGCTTTGACCTGCGTGGCAGCGATTGTGGGGAGTGGACTCTATATTGGGTGTTATGAGGGGACGAAGATATACTTGTGCAATTATCAAGTCTCATAGTTGGCACGGCTGAGGATTAATCCAAGCCAAATGTATCATAATATATGTATAATAGAATAGAATTACTCTGCTCCTTTCATGTCTTCGCCTAATAGAAATATATAATGCGATATGAAGCACCCTTCTACACAGCAACCACATATATAGTGTCACAATAAACAAGCATGTGCCCAAGACTCCATAGCAGAGCATCTAGTCCATATTTATCAGCACCTCTACTGACCGGTTTACAAAGAACACCAAAGGTTGAAATGAACAAAGCCATGCTCTATTCTTGATTGAACCTCGCATAGGACGAACGGTACAACACATACATAACAGACAAAACTCCCTTCGCCTGGAAAAAGAAAACCGAAAAGCAACCTCGTCACGGGCAAAAAGCAGATACCCTTCACCACCTGTTCCGCCCGAACACCAATCCCCGATCCTAAGCATCGTGAAGCCGTCTCAGATGAGGTTAGAGATTAGGTGAAATGAAACCGAGATAAATCAGGAAACTTAAACGGAAGAAGACACAGAAGACGTAGAGAGTGAGGTTAAGAGATAGAGAGATGGGTTTGGGGGGAGAGAGAACGCCAGGGAGTAAATGGACGCCGTCTCACTACATCAACGACACGAGGCAAGACCATTGTTCCAGGAACAAATACTCCGCTAGCAAATCAAGAGGATACAGAGGAGGATAAGCGAGAGGAAACGGAAGAAGGACGTTCATAAGCAGGAGAGAGAAACACAAGAAAGAAGAAAAGAAATACGTAAAGAAACACCATAAGACGGCTGACTAGAGAGCCACCACCCAAAAAGATTCCGAAATAACAAGCACGAAGGAAAGAAACCGGTTGGAAAAACACCCCATCTCCGAAGATTTCAAATGCTCCATATCGTTAGTGCCGTTGTGGCCCAAAGTCCGCCTCTACCACCTTGCCCTTCTTGCCCTTGACCGTAAACTCCGCAAGCAACGCGACGTGATCACTCGGGAAGTGGAAATTCGGGAACCCGGGCACACGGCGCAGGTATTCCTTGTCCACTTCGCCAAGCAGCGCCGAGACATGCAGAGTGTTGGAAGAGTACCAAACATAGTCGAGAATGGCCGTGAAGTCGGAGGTATAATTGGTGAAGCTCAGTTCTCCCATGGAGGAGTAGGCTGACTTCAACTTGAAGGGATGTGTCATGCCCACGCGGCTGAGGTTTCCGTAAAGTCGCTTCTCCAGGTCGGGATGGTCTTCGGGAAGTCGTCCAGTGGAGATCAAGTTATAAGCCGCAGACCCAGGTGAGGAGTTGAAATCACCGCACATGAGAACAGGGATTTGATCGCCACTGGTGTACTCCATCGACGGCGCAGGTTCCACCACAGGCGCGGCCTCTGAGCCACTTTCGGCCTCTGAGAAGCGGAATGCGGTCTTGTCCGTGCAGGCGGGCCATTTGGAGTAATTATCCGAAAGCTTGGTGATCTCCTCCATCAGAATCGCAGTCTGTATCAGCTTGACGTCCTTGAAGGCAGGATCCCAATACAGATGAGCGTTGACACTGATGAAGCGAGCACCAGTTTGCCGGTTTTCTAAGAAGATCACAACGGCGATGTGGTCCTTCTGCCAAAGTCGGTTGTAGATATCATCTTGGCCCTTGGCGTCGGGTCGACGGACGGCTGTCTGGCCAAAATTGATCAATTGCTTGTCCAATAGGATGTACTTGCTTCCTTTGAAGAATGTAGCACATCCATCGACCATCCGGGCATCTTCCTCTTGCATGCCCATTGCACGACCACGTGGCCAGTATACACCTTTATAGTCATTGTAGGCAAGCTGTTCCCGGAAGAAATTGTTGTAACTTCCTTGATCAACCTCCTGAAGGCAGACAATATCTGAGTTGTGGGATCGTAATTCGTTGAGAATAAGCTCGCGGCGGTATTCCCAGGACAGGACACGTGAGGGCACATAGCCGTAGTGCGATTGGGTTGCGGAAGAGTCACACAGGGTGTTGTACGACAATACGGTGATCTTTTCCGTATTGCTGTTGGACGATGTTGAAGTATCATCAAGGATCACCCAGTCACGATCAGGAGGAGGTAGGTGGACTGTAATGATGAAGTTAGCAAACAATCGAGCGGAGGAAGCAGGTAGAACACACCTGGCATCTCTTCTTTCAGGTACTTGATGAGAGCCTTGGTTCCATCCTTCATGATCTGAGATTTCAGAACATCGTTCAGGGGGTTGCCCTCGATGCCCAAGGTTTCCAACCGGTAAAGGTACCCCATTTCGTAAGGGAGGGTGCGAATGTTATTATCGAAGAGAAGGAGTTTCTTGAGGTTTGAAAGCATGCCAAGTTCTGCTGGCAGCTCCGTCAATTCATTGCCCGACAAATCCAGATGGTTCAACTTCCGCAGTTGTCCAATAGCCGGGGGCAGCACCTTCAACTTGTTAGAGTTGAGGTACAGCTTCTCAATGAAGGCATAGTTGAACAACGAGGTAGTCAAAGCGCGCAATCCTTGGCCACCGAAATCAAGCGCATTCCAACCCTGTCGGCTAGCTGGCTTCCCCGCAGATGCACCATTTCGCCCATCTGTGCCGTTTTCTGTATCGGTGTTGCTTGACATGAGCTGGATTCCTTTCGTTTGTTGCGCAATGACGCGGGCATGGTAGTGGGGAGAAGTAGCTTGTCTCGATTCTGCCGCAAGCTGGAGCTGCTGCTGCCAATGCTCGTTCATTGATTCATCAAGGTCATCGTCCGCGGTCGGTACTCCGTTCTGCAAATGAGTCGAGGTGAAGTGAGAAGTTGTCGTCGTGGCCAGTGTGCCGCCGGGGAAATTGTGTTGATGGGTGAGGTTGTGGGTCGCTTGTGAGTGGTGGGCATGATGGTGCGGTTGCTGTGTGTGATGAGAGTGGTGGGTTTGCGACTGGAATTTCGGGATCGGCATGCCAAACCGCTGGTGGGCTTGACCGCCATTCATCATAACATGCTGGCCTTGGTGGGTTTGGCCGTACATGTTGTTGAAAGGGCTGAGAGCAGCAGCCTGGTTGAGGGCAGGGGATCGAGAGGGGGAGGGGGTGTCGTTGTTGAATTTCAGTCGACCCGTCGGAGAATTGGTCCCGTTTCGAACAATGTGTCGCTGGTGAGGGTTCTGCTGTGCTTGTGCTTGGAAGTAGAACTGCCCGGCCCCAGGCTGCTGGAACCTGTAGGTACCATCTGCCATTTAACGTGGCAGACGAGACCGTGTTTTGTTTCCCGGATGGAAAACCTGTTGGTTGGTGGGCGGCGCTAAGTTGAGTTGGGTCGAGGAGAGGAGAGGAGAGGATCGGAGGCGGTCTCTTCTCTTCTTCCACATAGAGGCCTAAGGCAAAGAAACACCTGTATCAAACCACAATTGAAGGTCGCCGAAGGCTTTGGCACTGGGAGTATCTTTATGTGTGCAATGGAGCGGTACCTAAGGGCGTAGATTGGGCGGAAGGGTCAAAAGAAGGCGTGATCGGAAAGGCAAAAAGAGATCGAGTTTGGTGATGAGTTGAATAAAGACCAGTGGGGCACGATTAACGTAGCAAAGATGAGCAAACCAGACGATTGTCTCCAGGTCGATGAGGACGTCCTGAGATGACACTGGTGGTTTGCAACGAGGCGGGAGTCACGAGATCACGTGAATCGCCGCAAGGGCCAAAGTCTTCCCAGCTTTGATGAGGTTGAATTGCCAAGACCAATCGGTTCCCTCAACAGTTGGAAGTATCTTTGATGAGAGATTGGATGTTGATCACATATTCTTCATCTATCCTGCACTTTCGTATTACTTTGTGATCGGTGGGACTGTTTATATAAAAGCAGCCACGTGGTCGCCTTGCCTGTCAAAACTACGGGCATACGCAGCTGTCTCTGGCGACCTAAGTCGAACCTGCATGGATTTTGATTGTGCCTAGACATCTTGTTTGAAGCTAGCCAACACTACAGGGTGTACAATGAAAGGCATCGGGTCTAGGATGGAGATATATAACAAGTAGTCAGACCTGGACCAGAAGGTTGAAAGAATGAGCAATAGCCTGATCTATTCTAAGCCTCGCTAATAATATCCTAAACCTCTCAAATGGAGTCTGTCTTTGGTTTTGTTCTATAGGTCATAGGATCTTGTGTCAAAGTACAACAAGGTCAGTGAACTTCTTGGCGTGAACTGCTTGGGCGAGACACTATGTTGTAATAATAATGAATGGACTGATTGTTTAATCCACATTCCACAAATTCCACAATCGTATGATTAAGGAGTATACAATAACTATCGGTCGCTTCAATTACTATGGTGTATGTTGTATGTTGTCTCCATACTAGCAGTGATAATTGGCCAATGCCTTGGCACACCACCCTAACAACATAAGATATACGGGGTACGGAGTTGAAGGATCAGTATCAAACGATGTCTAGATATAGGGTTCTATAAATAATTCTAATCCTCAATTAATACTTCTTCTAACCTTGGAAGTCTACGAGTACCTAGTGAATATAGAGATATGTGTCATTTAGATGATATATGTACGGCTGCTGCAAGGTATCACAGACCTAGTATAACTCGCATATTCACAAAAAAGGGGTATCTGCAGCTTAATGCAACCACATGCTCTAGAAACTACCCCGTACCTTCATCTTCTTACCGATCATATTCGCCTCGCCAACTCCGTCTATATCCCGTATATTTCCGGGTCCTCAAAAATGAAACTAGTCCTAAACCAAAGTACAAAAGTACGTGGCAGACGCTATTGTGTCGATCGAATTCTCGTATCATTCTGCAGGGACGTTAATACTACCCTGCGGAAGGGGCACGGATCACACTGCAGACCAAGACGATCGCGTGGAATAGTCCATGGACAAGTGCCTGGGACTTAGCGTAGGGCACGGGGTAAGCCGGTAGATTCCAGCGTTGTATCAGATAAAGCGACAGCTAAGTCTCAGGATGTCGGGGCCCAGACTGCGGATCCAATAAATAACTTGGTGATGGATATGGCGGGTAGGGATCTCCGTGTGTATCCAGTTTTACCGTTTGAATTGGATACGAAGTACGGAGTACATACGAGTCTGCTAGTACTCTCCTGGCTACACTTTGCTTTTTCTTTTGGATGTATCTTATCAATCAAAGAAAGCATTGGCCTATATTCAAGGACGTTATACTCCGGACCTCGTATATGGTTCTAGCCCCTGAAGACTATATAGATCAAAAGGCAAAAACGACCTAATATGCAATAGTTATACAACATCCATCACTTCTATAGCCTCGACCCCGTTAGGCCAGCATTCCCTTTTCGGCGAGTGAACGATGGGTTATGGCTTCAAGGAGAGTCATGATGTCAAGACCGATATAAAAATAGGGCAACACTCATTCGCACACTTCACGTTCGCTCAATGTCAAGGAAACACCCCAATACTGATATTTTACTACCGGAGTAAAGTACTGTTACTGTTACCGTGAAGACACGAACAGACTAAACTAGACTCGAGTGGATATCAACTTCCAGGGGTCAAGTCTGCTTTTTTCTTCCTTCCCTTCCCCCATTTCTTCTCGGACTTCTCGAATACTCTTCGCTTCGAAGGATCTGCGTTGTACGCAAATCCAAAGGATTATCTGCAGGCTCAGTCCTTTTGTTCTGACGTTGAACAAGAATTTTCAGCTTTGCGCCCGGCTGCACTAAGAATAATTTCCGAAGCCGCTTTGGTCCCCTGTCACTTTTCCTGTTCGACTCTATTTTTTTCGATTTTTCGATTTTTTTTATTTTATTTCCCTCGGAAGTGTCTTCCACTCGAAAAAAAAAGCATTAAAGAAGAAGAAAAGTATGCCTCGTTCATGAAATCAGTCTTGCGCCGAGAATGCGACCGAACCCACAACCCATCTTCAGAGTCATAGGGGACACCAATCGATACACTTGAAGTGATATGGACGTAATGGCGTTGGGGTTCTCAGCCGCAGCCGCAGCCGCCTCCGGTTCCGACCTACACTCCAACATGAGCTCGACGCTGGCCGCAACGTCCTCCTCGTCCTTGAGTTCACTCATGGACTACTCAACATACCCTCTGATGCGCTATGGTGGCCGCACCTACTTGCGCGACCCGGAGAACGTCTACCCTCTGCCTTGCGACCTACCCGAGATCCACCGCCAAAGCCTGCGCACGCTGATGCTGCTGCGCGTCCTCGGCGGCCCATTTTGCAACCCCCACCTAGCCAGTCGGCCGCCCAAACGCGTCCTGGAGATCGCATGCGGGTCTGGGCTGTGGTCTGGTCTGTGCCACGACTACTTCGCCCGCAATGGCCATCCCGATGTGGCTTTTGCCGGCATAGATATTATCTCCATTGCGCCGGATATGCGCAAGCAGGGAATGAACTGGCAATTCAAACGGCATGATCTGCGTCGGCCCCGCTTGCCATTCCCGGACGACTATTTTGACTTTGTATTCATTAAAGATGCCGGCATGTGTCCGTACAGTCCCGCGCAATCGGCATCGGGCTTGAGCGAGCCCCTGCGCGTGTTGAAGTCCGGGGGCATCCTGGAGGTGTGGGATTCGGATTGGAGCTTCCGCTCGCTCCTGCCCAATCCAGCCCCGGCTCGCAAAACCACCTCGAAGGAACAGGAGATCGCCGACGAGACAGCTACTTATACATTCTCCTCGGCCACACCGTTTACACGAGCGCAGAACAAGTTCGTGGTTGATTATAACTCCTGGGTGGAGAAGTCGTTCGACCGTCTCAAGTTGACGGCGCTCCCGTGCGCAACCATCGGTCTATCCTTCAACTCCGAAGTGGACTTGCTGGAAAATATAGACAGTCGCCGCGTCGCAATCCCACTAGGTGACTTGCGCTGGGAGCGCGACGGCCAAGGCAAGGATTCCAAGAACCGTCCACGAAAGGCCCTGACTCCAGAGCAGATGTCCATCCGGCGCACGGCTCTCCTCACCACAATCCAGATGATTGAAGGGCTAGAGCCGATACTGATGGAGTCTAGCGGAAAGGGCCGGGACGAATGGGACCGATGGTGGGCTGCAATGACAGCCGACCTCTTGCAGAAAGGCGGACTCGCCAGCGGCGAGTGCCTCGAAGTGAGCGCCTGGTGGGGTCAAAAGAAATGAACCCCTTGAGTCAATTTGGAGTTCCGGTGGGCAAAAGTCAAGTAGTGACCGTTCTGCACTTTTTATTGGTGATACCCCAATTTTATTTCTATCTTTCTAGGTTTCTAACATGCACATGATCTGGACATTTTTAGAGAGGTGAGAGTCATGGAATTATCAGGCCTCACTTCCATATCGCTTTTTCAGCGTTCGGTACCGCTTCAAATAGTACCTGGGGTTTTGTTTATCTTGTTAGTTGCCATCAACGCAAATTCTTGTGATGGGGGCAAAAATAGTTCTTGCATGATGCCATGATAATGAGGAGTGAACCTATGCACAGTGTATCTAGCCAGACATTACCCATTATGGGTGCAATGTATAGAAGAATGACATGTACGAATGATTCCACTGAATTGTAATCCAGCAATATAGGCAATGAACGAGGAAGATGGACGGATGCGACAATGAGATATATAGGGTAGGGGAAAAGGGAGGGATATAGGGAATAGTCTTACAATGCTTCCACTTCTACATTGAACAATTAGCAAATATCCTCTAGTATAGGGATATGAATCCCAGCGACATAGACACCACTCACCTTTCTTCACAAACTCCGCCCTCGCTATTCCCTTTCGGATCTGCTCATCATCGGTAATCTGAGTCTGACTTGCAAAAGCACGGTGTAGACGATCCCGGAAATACTGATAGCCCAGAGGGTATTCCCGTCCCAAGAACAGAAGCTCTACATCTCGGATGATTAGCATGTAACAGTCTAACAGATGACGGGCTTGAGACTGAACGGAAACGGAGTATACCTTTGTAGACGTTAATGACCTGTCGACGTAGCTCGAGATTTACCATTATCGCTCCATCCAAGAACTAGGATAGTTAAAGAGTCAACTTGGGTGGTGGGGATGCGGTGCATTAAAGGTAGGCGGCTGAGAAGCTTCCAAACCTCGGGTGTATCGGTGACGTGCCTGGCGGCCTCCATGACATATACAACCATAGAGGTCCATGTTCTTGGGGCAATTTGTATTTTATTTCTTGGGTTTACGTTCACATACAAAACTATATCTAATTACTCTGTAATTACACAATACTTCTAAATTAATCTCAACACAGCTCCGGTTCAAACCCCTAGGTACTATATTCACGCGGGGTTCTAGCCGACCTCGGCCCCAAGCTTCTGTTTATCGGTTATCGGCGGTCTAGCCGAATCCAACACCGCAACAGTCTCTCTCTACAACCACGCGCAACATGCTCCCTCGATCAGCCTTCCGAGCGCAGCTATCTGTGTCAATTTCTCTGTGCTCAAATGGCACGCGTCGTCTCTTCTCGGCGACCTCCTCGGCAAACGGCCAGAACCTCCCCGACTCGGCCCCGATCAATCCACGATGGCTCACAATGACCAAACGAAGGATTGGGAAGTGCCTGATGTTTGGGATGAAGCCAGCTCAGGTTGACGAGGGGGGCAAGATTTTACAGCAATTGGCCAGGGAATGGCGGGAATTGATCGCTGGGAGTGAGGGATTCCTCACGGATAAGAAGCGACGTAGTTTGTTTCGCCATAATGTTGTCTGGGGAGAACAGGTATGAGAGGGGATATATTGCTTTAGCTGTGTTGTGGATGGGAGTCATTAATGCTAAGTCTGACTGTTGTGGATTAGGATATTATGGTGAGAACATTCATGCCCCTAGTGCACTTACTGCATGCACTATCTTGGATTTCTGGACTAGAGCTAACTGGATGATAGGGTATGCTCCGTCTTTTTCTTTGAATTTGTTACTCCGATTCATGGATCATACCGTACTAACTAGTCCAAGGTCACGTCAACAACGTTACCTATGTTCGATACGCGGAGACCGCGCGAGTGAACTGGACGCGCAATATGGGTAATTACATCGATACGGCAAATAAAAAAGCATGGATAAACATGCTTTGTAATACGGGAATCGGGCTCATCCTGAAGAGTATCAAGATGGACTACAAATTTGTACTGTATCCCTGAGACCCAAACCCTATACTTCTGGGAAAGAAGCAAGTGGGCCTATTTACTTACTATCATACAGCCCATGGAATCCCCAGACAAAATCACCGTGTACCAAAAGCTGCTCCCAGACCCATCTGGGCATCATGCATCCCAATCGGCCTTCCGATTCGAGGTCATGATCATGTCTGAAGCCCACCAACGCCCTGCTGCTCGTTGCTTCGAGGATACCGTGGTCTATGATTACGAGAAGAATCGCAAGACCGAGAATATCCCGCCCTTTATGATGAAGCAGTTTGAGATTATGTGGGAGCAGCAGGAGCAGGAGAAGAAGCACTGGAGACGGAAGATAGCTGAGATCGACAATCGGGTTCGGAATCTTGAGCTTGAGAGCTGGGATCGGGTTGATGCCGTGGAGGATAACGGGTCTGCGTCGCAGTGATCGCAATGGGGGAGAAACATTGAAGAGCGGATTATATGGGACTCCTTGATTGACACGTTGTAAATACGCATTCCTCAAGCATGCCTGACTACTGATGAAATCTCGGACGAGGGAGATATGGTCATAATATTAATGGTAGCAGCGGCGATGAACCGAACTTAGAACTTGATCCAGGTGCAATTATGCAGGATGAGCACCCACGGGCTTGAATGTGTCGCATCATGTACATACATGCACGTCTGACCCGTGATCAAAAGCAGCCCTAATTCATGATTGAACTGCTGTTTTCGTTGCTCCCGGGGCCACAACACTGAATCTACCCGTTATTTATGGACCCGCAGACATCGGCTGGGTATATCATTAGTGTGCGCCAAGAAACCATTAACATAGAAACAGTGATTCATCTTCAAGCCCACTGGTTAAACAACTCAAAGTTTCAACCTCTTTGCAATCTCAATCCCCTCGGCAATGGATCCCACCCGGGCATCAATCGCATACCCTTCACTCTCCAACTTTTGCAGCTCAGCCGAAAGCTCCGATACCGGAAGCGTGAAACACTCAATAAACTCATTATCCTCGAGATCAGGCTTTGGATTCTGATTTTCCGGAAGAGACATGTCAACCCGAACGTAAACCATGTTGAAATTGGCATTGCAGAAGCCAGGATCTGGACAAGTATCTCAAGTCAGCTAATATCCAGTAAGACGAACGACGGGCTCACCAACCGTTATACATGATACCAGTAGTTTTATCAGCAACGCCGATATACCCTGTCTCTTCTTTCAGCTCTCGAACTGCAGCTTGCTCGATTGTCTCTCCGGCATCGATCAATCCTGCAGGGAGTTCTATGACGACCTGGTCGATTGGAGGCCGGTATTGCTTCTCCAGAAGGATATCAGCACCGTTAATATTATTCAGAAAAGCGACGATATTGACTCCATCGACGAAGGAATCCGTTGGCCTTGTCTACGATTTGATTAGGTCTTTACAGTTGCATTTCTATATAAAATCGAAATTCGTACCTGGCGCTCAGCAGACTCCCAGTCTCTCTTGACTCCATTGGGATCGATGTAGTTTGTCTTGACTAGTCTTTTCCATTTGGCTTCTTGGGAGGTCTAAAGACCATAAGTAGCTGAGAGTATAGTCGGATTAGGAGCACATACCAAGGGCTCTCGTGAGAGGAATGTGGACTTGAGTTGCGTCATTTATGTATTGGCCCCTCGGCTTTTCGGAATGGGAATTGCACTGCGAGTAACTGTGACCCAAGGACTGGGTTGTAAGAATGTCCCAATTGATTGCAACCGTCTAAAGCGGGCAGTGCCCGCGGGCGGGGATAACATGATGACTAATGCGGTGCTGGACCCCCGGGGCCGGGGCCGGGCCTGCCCGAATTGACAGCCTTAGGAATGTCAACGGGTGTTTTATTAAAACTAACTACCGTAGCATATCATTTATACAACATATTCATCCCGAATGGGATTGTAAATCATCTTTAACCCCATACATTTCCTTGGCAGCGTCGTGTACTTAGGAATATTGCCTATGAGAGCACCGCTGTTCTACACGTATGACAGTTCTTGGTCCGCATGATTTCTTCAATTATAAACAACGTCAAGCCCTGTGTCGCTGCCTGTATTTATTATACCGATCCCCGGCGTCACCGTTGCTTCGGAATGTGAAAGGATTCACCCTGGACTTGCTACAGCGCCGATGTTTACCTCTTTAGTTAGCAAAGATTATCTTGGGAGGATGAATACGACGGTTAGCTATATCGTGCTCGGATGATCAGACATAGACGAGTTTATACGTCTAGTTGTATTGGAGACTTTGGTGACGGTCTACTACTACATGAAGCTAGGTAAGTATATCGGTACATATGTAGTTCCAAGATTTTAGGTGTAGTAGTAATTTGATTCTGGCCAAGATTGGCCAAAGTCTTGGTTGAAGTTAAAGTTAACATTATGCGGGGGAAGGAGTGTGCCTAGATGAGCTTCGGGTTCACTTCTCAAGTCAAAGTACGGAGTATACATTTTCATATATTGTGAAGAATCTTATCTATCCCTTGTTCATTCCTTAAGCATTTCCTATTTCGCTTGCTTTCCCTGACATTTCTACAGTCATTACTGGATGAGAAAGAGAGATGCAATGCATATTGTATCCCGTTTTCTACATTTCAAGAAGAATTTAAGTATAGAGACCATATATTCTGGTACATGTCTGTTTTGAGATATACTACGGAGCATATTAGAGGCAAGTATACATATATTCGTGTGCGTACGGAGTACCTGTGGAGTATTAATTCGCAGTTACATAGGATCCTGTGTTTCAGGATACATACTAACTGCATGTGGCTAAGGTAAACTTTAAGCAAATTTGCCTCAATGAACTACAAAAGATCAGATTGTTCAATTGATTGGACTATGAATGAATCAAGCTCTTTATAGAGGCCAAAAACCTTCACAAGTTTAGCTACTTCCATAGCAATTACTGGACTCAAAAGACCCCGCCACAGGAGGGGAGAGCCGGGAATACTAGGAAAAGCGAAAGGATCGACCTCGAAAACCCGAAGTTTATCGGACCCAAGCAAAACCCGGTTCTAAAATAGGCAAGGCGGACGCGCTAGTGGAAGTGTCTGCAATTGTCTAGAATTGCCTATGCAGCTTATTTTTCTGAACTGGGACTGGAAATCTGCAAGTATAAAATGCCAAAGAAGTGATCGAGGAGGGTGTACTATATACTCCGTAGGTGAGACAATGGTAGGGCTCATCGTATAAAAATAACTTAAGCCATCACCAAGCCCAGCCGTCGGGCCGATCTTTACTAAGCTTGTGGCTGATCTACGAAACCCTTCAGGGTTGCCAAGCCCGGGTATCGTATAAGAGGGGAAGGATCGGAATTGTCAAAGGCTGTATGGCATCTATCTTTTACTTTAGGATATCTTCTTTACAGTGTAGATAGATATTTAGCTTGCACGAGATATCTCGATATATCCTCAAACGTCACCTTTAGAGATCTATGGACCCATACTTGTACTCGTACGATACGGAGCCTTCAGGAAGATGCACGAGATAGCCGAGCATGTGATGATCCAAGAAAGAATGTGGACAACCCTGTTGATACACACCTTTGATACACACGAGCTTCAGTTCCCCGTACTTAATCCCATGATGCTCTCCAGGTTCGGGATTGCGTGTTCATACATGCAGGCGCATCCGCAAGCGAGTCCCCATGGATCCGTAACACATATCATAAGTCCGGCACAAGACTGACCCCGCAGCAGACGGGTCGAGAAACGGTTGATCGTCAATCCAATCAGTCAGGTTGACAGCAAATAAGGACCGGTTATCTGAACAGGCTTTCAAGTTGATCTGTATACCGTAGGTACTCCGTGGTCACTAGCTTATCAGCACTAGTCAATCCGTTTTGAAGAAAGGCTATATAGCGCCGAGGCAACGAAAACACCAGTATCGTAAAACCGGCTGGATAAAGCGAAAACACGCTTAGGATTGGCCAATGTGCAGGTATCCGCGCTGCGGCAACCACAAGCCGTATAGCTCCTATATAGGGGGCGTGACCTGTCAATAAGCCCTAGAGTATCGTAAGATACAGAGGCCAAAGAAAGAAAGCTTGGCAGTGGATTGGCTGTGTTGACTGGGATTTTCCATGCAGCAACTCCAGATCGACAAAGAAGCCACGGGAATATATTACCAGGAGCTCTTTAATTGAATTTGCAATCCGGCGTCGCGCAAGTAGAAAGTACCGACGTGACATAGTGGCGAATGGTAGTGAGGCCAGGTACCGCCTACCCGAACGGCACCAGTGATCGACACTGAATGACAGTACCAATACCAACTTCTGTTTCTTTCGACTTCATACAATTCCACCTGGGCACTTTTTCCCCTTCACGCTTCCACGTAGAGCGTCGTCTCTTGCCATTCTCGCTCATTTCTTCCTTTCCTTATACATCTACTTACCATTTCTTTCTCATCTTCATTACCATACGAGCCACTCTGCACCATTTCCTTCCACCCACCATATTCAATTTCAGTCCCTTTTTCCTGGTCCCAGTCCTTGGCTCCATCCCGCCAAGCTGACTCGGACCTGGGTTTCGGGCTCCCTCGTCCATGACACGCTCCGCTGCATCTAGGAAGAACCAGAGCAATCGGCAGGAGAATGGCCTTGTCGGTCCCGGCAAGAAATTAACTAAGCAAAAGTCAAGCGGCCATCTGAACGGCAACTCGGGCAACGGCTCTGCTACCGGTCCGGGCGCGTCCGCTCACTTCGATCTATCCTCCGTACGATCTGCTAGCGATACGGCTTTGACATCTCCGACGGTTGCCGGCAAAGGAGGGGATAGCACGAAGGCAGATGGCAATGTGCGTGGGATGTTGAATGGACATAGCAAGGGTGGAGACATGACATCTGCGCAAGAAAACGGCGATGTCGCCCAGAATGGCGGCATAGCAGGTCATGTCTCTCGCAATGGAACCTCGAAACGATCCGGATCCAATGCCTCGATTAATCCGCTCCAGCTCGCATCGACTATCCTCAAATCGTGCCCGATGTACGACACTATCGCCATCTTGATTTTTTTGCTCCAGCTTCCACCGATGGTCTTGACCCTCGTTCAGTTCTTATTCGCCTCCTTGACTTTCATGCCTCCGAGTGGCGCCGCGGCCGGTTCTTTGTCGTCGAACTTCGATATTTTTCAGGGTCCGGCTGGGACGCCATCTCTGGGGACAATGATTGCGATGGATGGGTTTTGCATACTTCTCTGGGGCCTCTTCATGTGGAACTGGGCGCAGAACTTTGCCATCGATCTCGCTCATGTCCAAGTTGCTATCACCTTGGGTGGCGGGGGTTCCGGGAAGAACGGCGGGGTCAATGCTCTCTGTGTCGGAATTGTTCTGCTTCTTCATCTTGTTCGCAGTAAAGGCATCCAGGACTTTGTCTTGGGTCATCTTGTCTCTGCTAAACTGCTCAGTCCCGATCTCCTCTCCCAATATTCGCATCTGTTACCCGCTGAGTTCCGACACTCCGAAGCACAAACGTCTCCGAGCTGGCTCCGCAGCCTTCTTGCGGTGCATATCCTCGCACAAGCTGGAACCGCCATGGCGCGACGTTCGATGGCCAAGAATCGGTCACCGACACCGTTACGGACCGGCAAGCGGGGAGATACGGAGGCTTCTGCGGGGTCACAAGGACAGGCGGATTCTGCTCTGGAATCTGCTGCCAGTGTTTCATCTTGTTTCGTGGGACCTGATGGTCAGTTGAAAGACGGAAAGGATCGTTTCACGTCAGCTAAGAAACGCAGACGGCAAGCCAATCAGGTTCGGAGCCGACAGCCGTTCTGGGCTGCGCTTGCTAGTACAAAAGTCACGGTGATGAGGGAATATGAACATTCGCGGGCTATCTCCAAGACAGCCCGCAATCTCACAATGACGGAGGAGGATCTCCAGGGGTTGTCTCTCGACGACGGGTTAATATGGATTACGGATGTGGATAGCTCTTCGATTAAATTCGCCGCGGGTGAGTTTACCGATGACCCCGCGGTGTCAGGTTCATTTGAAGCCGGTCGTTTGGAAGGAGACATGGAACCATTCTACGTCTGCGTCAACGGTGCGCTTTGGGCTACCGCTTCGATATGCAGAGTTTCAGACGCCAAGGGACCGAGCGTTGTCCAATGGCGGGGCGAGATTGCTGGACTTGCTCCCAATTGCGCATACACATGTGCATTTGTACGAAGCGATACCGACGAGGAAATCTGTGTCATGAGTGTCAAGACGCCTTCAACGACTGACACAGAGCAAGGTAAGTTCACGCTAAAAGACAACGTCTCATTTTCAATAAGCTCATTGCTTGAAATAGTCATTTCCGCGGTATCGACACCCCCACAGCCGACCTACCGTCCATCGTCCCCCACAACGACGCTCAAGAACTCTATCAGCAATGCGGAATCAAAGTTGAACGAAAAGCGCAATCGTCTGAAAAAGACGAAGAACGACCATAAAGCTGTTATCTCGAAAATCCGGAAAGAGCTCGATAACTTCAATGCTCGCCTCCAAAGCGGAAATGACGAGAATCGCCAAAAGCAGCGTTCGCTTCAACTTGAACGAAACATCCGGCAGACCGAAGAGGCTACTGCGGTACTAGAGGTACAACTCGACACCATGGAAAGTGTTCCTGAGGAGGAGATGGAAGAGTGGGCGGCGCACAAAGCGGACTTCGAACGCGAGCTGGAACGTTTCAATTCGACCAAGGAAGAGGTTGCTGCTGCTCGAACGGCTGCAGCTCAGCAGGTGGCGGCACTGGAGTTGGAATTGACGCAGGCTGTTCAGAAGCGAGAGCGTCTCCAGGGTCGCCGCACCCGGGTGAACGAGCAGTATGAGCGTATCATTTCAGCCAACGCACAAGGGTTGAATGAGAGAGAACGTCGGGCCGCTGAACAATTTGCCAGGGAACAGGACCAGTCAAAGATGGAGAGCAATTTCCACGAGCAATTCGGGAGCATCAGCCAATCCGTGCAGGATTTCCAGCTGCGCACGAGTCAACTCTGGCAGCAGGCATCTGCAATTGAGCAGTCCATCCAGCAACAACAACAGCAAATGCTCCTCGAGTCTGGTCCTCTCACACCCGAAGGCAACTTGCCGGGCACCAATCCTCTGCCTGAGACCAGTGGTCCGTCGTTCAACGCATCTACGACCACTGCACCTAGCGCTCGATCTCTGATGGGGGGTCTTAGCTTTCCTCATGCGAGATCTAGTCCACTACAGATTTCGTCTTCTCCAGTCCACGAGATGCCGTCAAATCCAACTAGCCCATCGCAAGACCTTCCCTTCCTCCCACAGTTTCCAAACTCTCCTGTCGGCAACGTGGGCTCATACTTCGGGTCAGAAATTAACCACCGAGACCGTTCGTTCTCCAACCGCTCCACTCGCAGCAGCCAATATGGCTCTGAATTCTTGGACACGAACCACTTGCCACCTCTCCAGCTTGACCTAGCAGAATTGCTTGGTGAGACCAAGACTCGGCCTGGGTCTGATGGTTTCCTGCATCAAGGTGGCCGTACGGTTTTGAGCCCTTTCCAGCGAGCAGTAAGCCGAGGTAGTGGCAGTGGTAGTGGCGGTAGTGGCAGTGGGACCGGCAGTCCACACTCGGTGCGGGACTAGTTCTCTCGGCGGTTGCTGTCGTGGTCTCATGCCTAGCTACGCTGTCAACCCGCCACGCTTGTCTTCTGAGAAGTGGCCTCAAGTTTTGTGCGTCCGCGCTTTTGGTTCCGTCCGGTTGGATTCCCGCCTTCCGTTAGTCAATCTTTCTCGGCCTGCGCTGTGATGGCTCTGGTTTATTGGGCCATTGTAGTGTGGCACGCATCTCGCGATGAGATGGCAACTATATGGATTCGATTGAAGTGAGATACATGGCAGCTCTGTTCCTAACGCCGAACAACAAAAGTGTTCTATACTCGGTTCTTGTATACTCTCTCTCACAAAAGCGTAGACGCATCAATATCATGAAAGCATTTCTCATCTTCATCTCTCCATGTCTACTGTAGGATCATAGTGGATAGGCCGTCGATTTAGCTTTGATGCCATGTCTAATCAAAAGTATATATCCAGCCCAAACGCCGTTTTCCCAAGTATATACAATGGTTTGCCAAAAGCATAAGCGATACCGTATTCTTCATCTATATGAAACCAGACATGGCTCAAAGTTCACCCCCCATCTTCCAAAACTTGGTATTTGCATACGTTAAACAAAGCCGCTCAGGTAAATCATTCAAGGCCTTATCGTCTTGCCCCAGTGCCAAAACAGACCCAGAGCCCTCAACCGCCCGAACAACAGTACCCAGCACGATGGAGTGATCATTCACATCAATCTTCTGCGGATGTAGGGTACATTCAAAAACAAAAGGAAACTCGACCGCGTCATCCACAGCAGCTGCTTCCGCCCTCCGCTTAAGAATAGGAAGCGATCTTGACGGATGTCCCTGCTCGTCCTTAGTAGGCAAAGCCGCGAACTCAAACTCCCCATGTCCTCTCAGCATAGAAGCGAGTGCGATATTCCCCTTAGAGAAATCCCTGGCCAGAGTAGCAGTCGCGGGACTCGGTGCAAGCAAATGAACCAGGAACCGGCGCGAGGCAAGCAACGCATTCAATGTCTCCGATGGGCGGCGCACGTTGAAAGAGATCACAGGGTCCGGGGTGAGAGTGACGGTGCTGAAGGAAGACACGGTCATACCGCGGAAGGAGGTTATGTTTTCTGAACCGGAGGGGTCGGTTGCTGTTATGATTGCGACGGGGTATGGGACTCGCCGCATGAGGAGGCGGACTTGGTCGGATATAGATGTCGAGGGTGTTGGCGGGTGTGGTGCGTTGTCTGCGTGGGATGGGGCATTGGGCTTCCCTGTGCTATCATTTTCTTTTAAAGGCGCTGTGGAATTGCTGGTATATCGTCGTTGATCGCATCGTGATCGGTGTTTGGTGTATGGTACAGGCGGAGAGGTTCGGAGGGAGAGAGATGTTCCCAGGAACAGGGGTGTATAGTTGTTAATGCATGATAGTTCTGACAATTTCCATTAGTACACTTGACAGAAACATTGGACATACATCGTGACAACCTACCTCCGAGTGCTGTCCGAGCAGTCCCATGCGCGGGAAAGGCGAGCTTCATCCCGTCGGCCTGGAATTGATGGAGCTTTGAGAGGCGCTCAGGGGATCACGCAGGGCACAAATTCACAGATAATAAGGCTCTGCCAATTCATGTCTAAATTGCCAGCCAAAAAAGAGACTCACAGAGACATAGGGCAATATGAAGTCATGCAAACATCTAAGTTATGAAATTCCCGAAAAGAACAGGCCCGCTTACATAACCCGCGATAATTTCTCTGCTATGGCATCAACTTCGCAACCTCCGCAACCTCCCCGATAGCATTGCGGCCCCGTCAACCTCCGCCCACCCCGACAATACTCCTTGTTATTTGCATCGGCATTTCCGAAACAACCCATACAACATGTCAATGCACACCTCTCTCCGCCGCACAGCGGTCACAATCACCAACTCAACAACCACCATCCTCCCTACAAGACTACCCACGAACGGCACAACCTTCATCTGCTCGCAATGCCGACACGCCACTCTCCTCCGCCGCCCTAAGCGCCCCTACACCTTCACACAGCTCATCACCCTTTCGGACGGCAGCACCTTCACGCACCGCACGACCTCGCCGGCCCCGATCTACCGCTCCACGCGCGACACGCGCAACTCCATCCTCTGGAACCCGTCCAGCAGCAAGCTGATGAACGTCGAGGAAGACGAGGCCGGTCGTCTGGCGGCTTTCCGTGCCCGATTCGGCCGCAGCTATGATGCCAGCGCGGCGCCTGCTGCGGCAGCGGAAGAGGAGGTTGCTAAGGACTCTCTTGCGGCTAAGGACCCTGCTCTTGCGAAGCGGGTCGAGGCCGAGGCTAAGGCTGCTGCTAAGGCGGAGCAGGAGGAGGAGGATAACTTGCTTGATTTGATTAGTGCTTTCGGGCAGAATGAGGCGCCGCCTCCGCCTGAGAAGAAGGTTCCTAAGTTCACTAAGAAATAGTGGGCTTTGGATGTCCCGGGTTGAATCAGGTTGTTCTGTTTTGGACTGCTTGGATGGGAGTTGGGATCTTCTTTTGCTTTTTTATGTTTTCTTTTCTTTTCTTGTGTTTTGATCTTGTACAATATACATATGTCTGGTATGAGCCTGCTGTATTATACCAAGAATTCATCTTTTCTCTCATCCATGCTATATTTTTGTCAGGTCTATATTATTACTATAGGTCTTAGAAGCACCTGCCCGGGTGGTCCATATATACTGTGAGTACTCATACACAGCCAATATACCTAACACAGACTAACACCTGAGCCTTGTTAACAAATGATTACAGTAAAAAGTAAACACCCATTAGCATTCATCACCCACCTCAGCAGTAGCTCGCAAGGTACCAGGCTCGTGGGCATGTTGCTGCTTGATGGAGTGATCTATGGTAGGTATCGGTCTAGGGCCAGAGGAAGATGTATGAATTAGGACCGTATAACTGACTAGGGTAGAGAATGATTTTATTTGCCACAATACGCGAACATTGGTATTCGAAGTGCAGTGGAAATAGAAGAAAAACACAAAGATCCCCAGCTTGCTGAGGACCATTATCAGTTGCAGCATGGCATAAACAAACATCGCGAAAGGGTTGTCCCATAATGAATACAAAAGACGAGATAGAACGGTGCTATTTCCGGGGTTGGGAAACAGCATCCGAGACTGAGGCATATCAAGCGTCATCCTCAGCGGCCAGTAGCCCTGATTCCTCTGTGGGCTCTGCCGGAGCGGGTGCATCGCTCACCTCGGGGGGTACATAATACGGAAGTCCTTCCTCGCCAGCGTCTAGACGCAGAAGGAATGTCTCCCAGAGTTCGATCAACTGTATTTAGGGTTAGCTGGATGAAATAAACCCGCAAGACTTGGCAAGAACTTACCTCTTTCTGAGCCTCGACTGCACTTTCAAGGAATGTTTCCACGCCAGACTTAAAGTCCTCCACCTTCTCCTTCTCAAACCTTTGTAGTTCATTCCGCATAAGACGACCCATATCTTCGAAGAGCAGCCGCGTTTGGTGCACTTTGCGCTCTGCATCTGCGACGTCGGCGTTCACTTGGTTCAAGCGGTCTTGCTGGGTCTTTCCCTGGCGGAGTAGTTTGTCTTGGTTATTCTTGCGCTTCTGTAGGTCGGACTCCGCTGCGTGCCAGGTGTGGAAAGCCTTTTGCCGCTGCGTGAAAGCCAACTTGACACTTCCAATTAAACGGATATATTCATCGATCGTGATTCCAAGCGTCAGAACATCCTGCTGCGCCTGTCGGTCATAAAGTTCCCGAATGCGCAACTGAAGTTCGGACAGGCCTTCCAATGGATAGGAAAGGGCGGGAGAGAGCTCGACGGCGGACAAGGCATGCAATGAGCTCGAAAAGTCGCTTGCGGCCTCGGATAGTCCCTTTCGTTGTATAACCACGGTGTCCATTGATTTCAATAGAGCCTTCAGCTGATTCTCCAATGCATCCAAGTAGACTTTTCGGTCGTGGAACCACTATTTATAGGTGAGCAGGCGAGACCGATGTGTCAGAAACGATTCACTTACATCGTCATGTTCCACGAATTTAGTTCCTCCACCAACAGAAATACCAAAGGAGCTCAGCATTCCCTTGCTTGGGCCAATATCAGGCTCTCGGTTTTCCTTATTCTTAACATCAACGGTGAAAGCTTCACTTTCTAGGAAAATTTTCAAATCGCCATCATGCTGAAGAATAGGATGGCCGGCAATCTTGTTAAGCATTCGTTCCAAGGCAGCTCTCCTCGACTCTACAAAGTTGGTATCAAACCGGCCAACTGCTTGCTTCTCGGGCGGAGGCGCAACAACCACTCCCGGGTTATTGCTGTGCAGGGAGTTGTAGAGCCAGAGGAAATCACGGTATCGACGGCTGACGGTGAACTCGGGTTGGCGATAGGCCTTAGAAGTTGTCTAGCCATCAAGTACTGTCAGTTTTTTCTTTTCCACTGTAAATTTTATGTCCGTGTGTCCAATTACCTTTGTCGAAACTTGATACACAATATGACTGCTTGTCAGGTCTCCCACTTTGTGCGGATCTCCGACATAGATATGGAAAGTCGGCTTCGCAGCCTGCTCCACGCTCATGCTAGGCTGCGTCTGTCTTTTCGGTCCATCCGCTTGCACCGGTGGTTGCACGGGAGGGGGTCCTCGGAAGACCGCGCTCTCCTCTTCCAAATTGGCCGAGTCTGCTGCCTCCACTCCAGATGCCTGGGAGGGAGACGAAAGTGGTCGTGCGCCCCGTCCGGCGAATGGCTCTTTCTGGGGCGGTGCTGGTGCCTCATCTGCGGGTGTTGGGGTGTCCTCGACGGGCGCTTCTCCCAATGGGCCGAGAGGGTCGACGGAATCATCGATGGATTCCAGTTTAGTGGCTTGTGCGTTGATCTTGCGCGTCCCTCGGGGGCCTCGTCTTCCTGATGTTTGGACAGCGGGCGAGCTGTCGGGCGCGGGGGTTGCAGCTGCTGCGTGGTAGAGTGCGCTTAGTGAAAGTTCGTGGAAAGAGCGGACAAGCCAGATAAAACATACCACCTTCCTCGGCGCCGGGCTT